GCGCACTATCCAGTGCGCCACCGGGCCGGCCCCCTGAGATCTTTTTTGACACAGAAAAGGGATTCTGGCTTTGGATAAGTCGGGAGGGAACTACTAGCCTGGCACTTGCTGACTTTTATAGTTGCCAGACTCCAGGGGATACTTGAGGCCCACCAAGAACACCTCGGAACAGTCAGGGGGACTGTGGAGCTCCGTGTGGTGTTGAGACCCAGTGGCTGCATGTGCACTTGACTTGTCTGAGTCCCCATTTGGGACGTTTTACCTGACCTCATGGCACTGGGAGGCGACTGCAGCTGTTTGCCCATTTCCGTCTATAGGCGGCAGGAGAGGCGGCCCTTCTCCACTCTGCTTGTACAGACTGTCCCCTTTTCTGCCTATTCTTTGGCATTTGGAGAAAAAGTGTAGTTAATAGTAAAAACTCTCTTCACTCTTTCTTCTATACAAAGACACCGTTACGTAACTTGAGTATAATAGTTCTCTCGTGCTGACATACACTTTAATGGCTGGAAAGGTGTATTATGGAATTTGTCTAACCTGTCTGGAACTCATGAAGAATGGGTTATTCTAGGACAAATTAACGACTTTGGAATACAGGAAAGCTCTTTCTCAAAGCATGGTCTGACTCTAAGTTAGCTATTATTTTTAGGTAGATTTCTGGGCCCATTTTAAGCACTAGACATTTCTTATACCCACTGCAGCAAGCACACCACAACGTTACGGAAGATTGTTATTGTCCTTACTTAACAGATGGGAAAATTGAATCTTAGGTTAAGTAATTTGATGAAGATCACGCAGCCAGTGACAGAACTGGGAATCAAATCCAGGAAGTCTGACTTCATAGCCCAAGTACGTACTCTCGCACAAGCCTACCTTTCAGTTGTGTTGAAGCAATGTCCCTGCCCTCCAAGAGCCTGTTGTCTGTGGGGGGGAAGCTGACACATTCTCAAGTCACAAACAGCATATGTCAAGGGGAGCCACACCGTGGTGGCACAGAGAGATAAACTTGTGGAGAAAGCCCAGCCTGTGGTGCAGTGGTGGTAAGCTCAGAGAGTGCATGAGATTCCAGAGCGACCGTTCTGCAGAGAGGTATTAAGGCCCAGGAAACAGTCTAAAGCTGTGTTGGACACAAATCCACCTCCCCAGCTTGCTGTTAGCCCTGCAGCCGTAACTGATCTGGGGGCAACCTATTGTTGGCCTAACAGAAGGGGATGAATTTCATATACCATGGTCCACAGAAGCTGTTTAAACTTCTGTTCACTGTTTCCCAGGAAGAGAATATATGAAATTCTGAAATTTTAATTCATTTCCTCTTTCTGCCCTTGAATGTAATCACCAGTAGATTTTAATAAAGTTTAGAGATGAGCAAAATCAGGGAAGGGTCACACCTCCTAGAGGTTACACTGATTATAACCCAGGTGAACTTTATAAACAAATAGAATCAATCCCATGTATGAATCAAAACCAGGGAGGAGTTTATTCTTTTCTTCTCTCAGACATGAAGCCAGGGCCAGCATAGGTCTTCCTTGCTCTTCCATATCCACTTGCCCTTATCTTTGTGTTTGCTCTTCACTATCACATTCATTAGTCCCCCTCTCCACCAACCCCTCACTGCCTTGCCCGCACTCCTATTCCCCCGCCTGGTACTGCCAGCCACCTCCAGAGCCTGCTCCCCCAGCTCCAGCTCTGGCTTCCAAACCAGGCTGGTTCAGCCTCCCAGCACAAGGCGCCCCTCTCCTCTGGTGGGAGACGATGAGGCAGCATGCACTTGTGTTAAACACGCTCAGACACTCTGGCCTAGATGCATTGGATGAGTTTAGTCCTTTAATATTTGGCTCCCTCTTTCCCACTTCACTTTGTCCCTGCTGGGTAGAGCAGCACACGTGAGTAAACTGTATTTCCCCAAACCCTGTGGCTGGCCCAAGTAAGGTCAGTATTTAATGGAGAAGAGAAAACATCCAGGTCAGTAGAACTTCTACAAGGACCAGCACTTGAGTTTACCAATTGCCACCTGGATTTCCTCCCTTCCATAGGTTGCAAGTTAAATCGCCTGAATTCGGTTGTTGGTGAATATGCCAGTGCATGTTTACAAGTGGCCCAAGACTGCAGGACTGATGTGCTTGACCTGTGGACCCTGATGCAGAAGGACAGCCAGGTACAGTGACTTGCTCAGTCCTCTCCAGTACGTGGGATCACACATAAGTAAACCAGGTGTGTGCAGCTTTCCCTAGAATGGCTCTGCTTAGGGAAGACAGTTGTCCCTTTCATCAGTGAAAACAAAAAGATTGGGGCAGAGGAGAGGAATGGAAAGGATCCAGGACAGCTCACAAACCGAGGAGCTTAAGAGTTAAGAACATCCAGGCCAAGTTCTTTCATACATGGAGTGGGGGAAAGTTAAAACTTGTTAACAGGCAAAACAGTGAATTTAAGTAGAATATAGTATTGGCTAATCAAATTTGAGATACTTAATTCTAGTCGAATTATTTTGTTGTAAAGCCTGAAAGCCCAATTACAAATATAAAAGGTAAAAATCTGGTCCCATGCACAGTGGTGCAGGCACCCAGGAAGACAGCTAGACTACACTTAGAGGACCCAGCAATCTACTCCTGGTTTTTACCCTAGAGAAATGCAAACTATATTTACACAAAACCAGGATATGACTTTATAGCAGCATTATTGCTAACAGTCCAAAGCTGAAGCAACCGACATGTCCTTTGGTGGGTGACCGGATAAACAAACTGGTACCCCCATACAAGGGAGTACTACTCAGCATTAGATAGGAAGTATTATACACACAGCTAGGATGAATCTGAAAGGCATTTCGCTGAGGGAAAGCAGCTGGTCTCTGAAGGTTGCCTACTACATGATCCCATCTGCAGGACATCTCAAAAAGATAAGACTGTAGTAACAGGTCAGCAGTGCCAGAGGTTAGGGTCGGGGGAGGGTAACGACTGAATTCAGGTTCCACACAGGTACTGATGAACCGCGTAGAAGAGACAGAGTCAGGCACAGATCTTTTTCTCTTTTCATTTTTCTGCCACTTTCCACTCTTTAGTAAAGAGCTTGTTCTGCAGGTCACATTTCATTGCTCTGCTGAGACGCAGAGAGAACGCTGACTTTGACAGGAACCGGTGGTATCTGAAGTACTCAGAGGAAGGGAGGATCTAGTGTGTAAGAAATTCTTTGGACAAAAGACAATACTCACCCTAGTTTACTCTGTTCACACCTTGTTAGGTTTGGCCACTTGGACAAAGGAAGGTATAAAGAAAACAGCCAAGTGTCACTAAACCAGGTGTCAACTTTTCCTCTCCCCTAAATCTTAATCCATACCAGTCCTTCCAAGGACCTGCTAATTTCTAATATTTACAGTTACACACCTGTAATGGGGAAAATGACAACCAGTAAGTCACACTACCTTGTGGACACTCAGAATTGCCAATCATCTTTGGAGATCCTGAGAGCCCTAACTGTGGTGCCAACTCTGCCACCAGCCCTGTATCTGAGTAAATCACTGACCCCTAGGCCTCCAGTCTTCCTCTGAAACCTTCACTGGACTTGAACCTTCTGGGTTTCCCAAATCAGGAGGGTCCCTGGCAGCTTGAGTGCTGAAGGGTCAACATCAAGAGTTCTAATTTTGTCTGTTAAGAGTCCACCGGAAAAATAAACAAGAAAAAAAGAAAAGTCCACCAGAGATGGTCTGAAAAAGTTGTCCTACTAGAGGAAAGGAAATCACAAACTATTGGGCTAGTTACATTCACACATCCTTTTCAGTTTAACACAAGTCATATTCTAGAACTGGTATAGTGTTCCTTAGAGATCATCTAATCTAAAACAATCTAGATTAAGAAAACCAAGGCCCAGGGAGAAGTGGTACTAGAATCTGAATTCCTGATCTGTGAAAGTCATGTAGCCGGCCACTTGGATTCTGCTAGGGATCAGGAGGTGGAGTTCTTGCTCAGGGAGAAGGTTCTTCCCAAGGGAGACATGGCTCTTAGGGTGAAAGTTGTTGAGTTCAGGGGAGTGGTGGGGAGACTGGACTCATATCCCAGCAATTATTGTTCTAGGCTGGATGGTACAAGTTCCTTCCACCGAAAAACTTTCCCATCAATTTAATAGGTAGTCTAAGACTCAAAAAACAATATTGATTCACTGGGGCCCTGTGCTCTTTTAATACCAAATTTTTCATTTTCATTGATTACATTAATGGCCCATATCCGCTCATTAAGCTTCTTTCAACTGATAACCCTGTCATGTGATTCAGAAGATCCAGAATGATGTCCCACCTCAAACAGTTGAATGGTAGGTGATTTCATGAAGTTCGGTTCTTTAACATGGACATAGCACTACAGCAGTAGTAAAAGTTCTGTGTGTACAAGCACCTGTGTAAACAGCACATCCGTGCTACTATAGTCCAAGATGACTTTGGTCAGAGGCCTGAAACGAGAGGGGCAGGTGATCTTTTTGTCCCAGGGCCACAACTGGGAGTGCAGTGTACACTGGCATTTAGAAAATTACTAATGCCTTTAATTTGAGTTCTCTCTCTCTTACAGGACTTTTCATCCTATTTATCAGATGGATTACATTTATCACCACAAGGAAATGAATTTTTGTTCTCACATCTCTGGCCTTTGATCGAGAAGAAGGTCTCCTCTCTGCCCTTGCTCCTTCCTTACTGGCGGGATGTAGCGGAAGCAAAACCTGAACTCAGTCTGCTGGGAGATGGAGACCATTAGTCAATCTCAGGCAACCCAAGTCTGCCTCTGGCTGTTAAATTTACAGAATTCGAAGTCACCAGTGCGCAAAGATTCCAAGGACATTAATTGCAGAATTTTTTTTTTTTCCTTAAAAAAGATTAAACTTTTGCCCATGACTCTGGATCAAAAACATTAAACATCTGCCACCAATATTAATAAAAATATTAGGATTTTTCAGGGAAGTTTTGTAATTATGTACATTGTTTTAATATTAAATATTTATTGATTGATGCAGGTATCATCAGTGCCACAGCTACAAAATATACCCTGAGCAGCTTAATTCTAAAAATGGCAAAAAATGTAATGACAAGCTTGTTTTTTTTAAAAAGTCACAATTTTATAAAAAATGGTTTTCTTACATTCTGAGAACTGTTTCACTTTCATACATACACCCACACACCCCACTCACCTTATATCAAATTCTAGAAGTGTAACATATAAGAATATCGTGACTAGTTAAAAGATAGCAAATACCATAAGGTACAAGTTCAAGTATTAGTGTAATGAGTATCCGCGTAACAAACATGGGGGGGGGGGGGGCATGATTTGTCACAGGTTTGGTTAATTGCCCTCAAAGTTTACAAGTCACCTCAGTTAAAATGTGTTGGCTGGTGAGCACATTAGTTCTTAGAAAAAAAAGCTTTTAACTATAATTTTATGGAAATCATTATTCAGGCTGATGATTTTTATCCTTCACACAGTAAATGCAGATCATCCAGAATCCTGAAGCACCAAAGCAAGAATATACCCACTGTGGGCCAATATAAAGGGTTTCTGAAGTGTCAGTTCGTCTAGGGCTCATCCCCAGCCCCAAGGGCAGGCACCACTCCCCGTCCTGACCAGCCCATCTGCCTACTCAGAACGACCTCTTCTTTTGGTAAGAAATATCTCACCTTCTTATCCACTAGCTTTTGAAAACAGGCAACCATACCTCTTTCTTATACTTTGAAGTCGTTTATGTTCTGTGGATAGAGAACTTTTTAAGAGCATAGCAACAGTATTAGGCATATGTGAAGATACTTAAAAGCACAGAAAAACTGCCCAGCAAATTGGGGCCCTGAACAGTTAGCAGGATTCTATAAGTTCAACTGGCTACTATTTGTAACCTTTACTAGAATCTAGATTGTTTAATTCTAGAAAGTACTAGCCTTAGGATTATGAAGAAACATATTAACCCAAATAATTTCTAAGTTTACTTGTATAGTTCTCCCTGCTGCTAAAAGCTCTGGGTAATACCTAGAAACAGACCCACGTTTTGGAGATAATATATAACTAGGTTTCTCTCACTACTTTGTCTTGAAGGCAAATAAATAAATAAATCTATTCTCTGTTCCAGTTGTCCTCACAAATAACTGCTAAATGCCTCTTTATATTCAGCGGATCATTACAGTGTATAAAAAAGAAAAATTGATCACCTCCCTAATCAGTGCTGTTATTAATATAAAAAGTTAATTTACAAAAATGTAGAAGTTCATAACCTAATCCAGCTATATTTTCTCCTTTTGCACCACAGGTTGAAGGATATTTTAAAGATCAAAAAAAAAACTAAAACCTGAAAGCCTCAAAGTAAGCTAGATTCACCTTACCTCTTCAAAAGGAAAAGGACCTATCCACACGAGTATTGTTTATGAGAAGGAAGTTCAAACACATGACCAGCATCTGCTAAGTCACTTCCTCATTTCCCCCAAATCTTCACAAAATATATGCTCTGATTTTAGGTCAAATCTGTAAAAAATATTTTGCACACTTAAGTCAAAGAGCTTAGAAAGTGAATTCCTAAACTAGCACTCTGTTTCTTTGCTGTCAACACGATTCTGACGCTGCAGTTTAAAGGACGCGGCCTTTTCACTTCTGGTGACTGGATGGTCTGTGAGATCCTCAAACGACTTGGCAGCTGTGCTGCTATTGGGAAAGGGGTCCTTCTCAAAGCCATCCTCGTCCATATGTGAGTCCGTGCTGGGGTCTTCCTGGATGGTGTCCATTCTCTGGTGGTCCAGTTTCGGAGCTGCAGGCACCGGAGGTATCACAGGAGTGGGCTGCAGCAGCTGCAGGCGTCCTGGAGTCTGGGGTGCAGGGAAGGGTTTAATAATTCGAACTGATGCTGAATCCATGCTGCTTAGCATTTCGACATTCTGGAAAGACAAGGGTTCAATTGATGGGAATAAAATATGAATGAAAGGTCCTCACAGCTCCATCTTTACCCACCAAATGGACTTATCTGTTGGCTCCATCATCCCTCATGCCAAAGGAAGCACCAGGTGAGGCTCACTCAGCCTTAGAAGTAACTCAAAACAGCTTTCAAATGTCCTGACCATCTACCCTTTGAGGATCCCAAAGAGAACTCAAACCTATCAAGTTAAGATCCCAAGACAGGAAAAGATCTCAAAATACTAAGTGCTGAACAGCTATGTTACTCCTTAGGGCTGGGGAACGGCAGAACAGCACCCCTCTTCTTTAAGGTTCTTCCTCTTTTTCAGACTCCACCCATGCAATAATAAAAGTTCATTCTCACCGTTGTCAGGAAAGTTAACAGCCAACCTAGATGCTTCCTGCAACATGACCCTCCACTAGCCAAAGACTGGCCCAGCTGTAAAGGCTGACAGCTGTTGCTGTGGTGGTCAACTGAACGTCTTTGCTTAACAGGATCTCAAAGTATAACTGAAAATTATTTTTTCTTTCATGTGGTGGACTTACACTGGGGTGAAACAGCGACAGAGATTCATATTGCTTATCCAATTTCTTATCCTAGAAAGAAAACAGTGAGAAAAAAGGTCATTCCTACAAATAAAATTCAGTTAATAAGCGCTCTTTCCTCATAAGCTACTCCTACTATTAAGCACAGAACTTAGAAGTTGAGTTATAGAAAGTGAGAGCAGGCTCAGTAAATGAGAATGCATTTCTTACACAAGCTTTATGGTTATGCCATGAAATATGATTTTTGGCATTAAAGACAGAGGCAAGGTTTGAGTGCTACTTTTCTGAGGGATTTCTCCCTCTATGGGCAGGAAAATTACAAAAGCATCTTCCTATGCACGAAGTGCTCACATCAGTGCTCCAGCTCCTGGGCACACAAGGACAGTGCTGACTGGAAGGGCAGCTGGGGGAAGGGTGAGGTGGCCACACCTGCAGTCTCCCTCCCCTAGCCCCAGGCGGCCCAGCTCACAGCCTCACTTTGTTCTCAGTTGTTTCCACAGTTTCTGTGGCCCAAACTGTTGGAGGAACTGGGCCTCAATCCTACATCACACTTCTGCAGAAGGCTGAACATGAGGCCATCTGGTCACCCCAGTACCTGCCTGTAGCTGAAGTATGCAAAAGGAAAGATAGGACCTAGAATCAAGGCTTTGGCCTCCCATCTGGCTACTATGGATGTACTCTGTGACCAAAAATAAGCTACCACCCTTCACCTAGTCAATGGCCTTGCCCTGAAATCAAGGGTCATGCTTCATGGTCCACACGTGAAACATTCACTGTCAACAAAATAGGTTTGAGCCTCCAATAAAAGCAATTGTGATGGATGGCAATGCCATCCAGAGACATACCTTCTGTCACAGCTTCAACCCTGTCACTTTTAACACAGCTTTGCTCCAGCAGAAGTGTTCCATAGAGATTTTCCTCCCTATGCTCTCATGCTACCACCCCAAGAAGAGCTGTTCAGTGAGACAGCCCCCAGGCAAGAGAAGCCAGTGGGAAGAGAAGGGAAAGGAAACAGAAGGCAGGAAAACGCCTTGGTCACAAGAGTTAGCTGGGCTGGGATTATTCAAGTGTTCATAAGCAGGGGTTCCATGAAAGAGCTTCAGAGACAATGTCTAAAAGTGTGGGTCTGACTTCCTCATCTCTACAGCAGACAAATCCCCACTCCCCATAGGTGCAAGGTGAATAGATTTGTAAGGAAATTTTTGAAAAACAGCCTCAAATTTATAGTACCTGGAGTTCCTTAGACAAAGCCCAAATCAACTTATAGCTATTACTCATTTTGAACAAGAACAGAAAATATTGCTCACTCTCATTTAGTTGGAAAGATGTGAATACTCAATATGATAATGCCAAGAATCTATATGGTATATGAGGACCATCTTTGAAATGTTGATGTTTGATATTTGCTCTGTTCTATAAAGTCAGCCTGAAAATGCTTGTTCAGAAGCTTTACTCATCAGAGGTTCTAGACAAATCTAGTTAAACGGTCTCCTGTTTAACTTAGAAGAAATTAAATGTTAAAATAAAACATCTGACACACAAAAAAGTATAGTTCTTTAAAAATATTAGCTGAGCTATCTATATAAGTCATGCTTTCCTAAGGAAAGCAACAAAAAATGTCATTGGAAACATCAGGTCAGACTTGCTAAGAGCAAATTTTATCTTTTCCAAAGATTACATGGTTGTAGTTGCTCAAAATTTTAAAGAAATATTTAATCACTTAAAAATTGGTGACTTACCACACAATGGACGAGAATGCTGAAAGGGATCCAAAATATCAACGAGAAAACCAGGACGGACCCTACAATGTTGTCTGCTAAGAACTTCCCTGTAAACAATTCCAAACAGTGAATATCTTGACCAAGTACTTAACAAATCTAAAATGAAATGCTCGTAAAATATTATCATTGTGTCAAATGCTACAGAGTTGCTACCTAGATACTGCTACTGACAGTATTGAGAAGAGGATCTATGCCACCTCTATTAAACCTTACCGTCTCTCTGCACCAACAAGTGCTTTTAAAGAAATAGCCCTCGTGTACTTGTTGAACAGAGTTACTGCATCAACATATTAATCATGTAGAATGCCACTGCTAGTAACAGGTGCTTAAGACGGCAGTTTTTGTTACCTGGTTATTTTTGTGACTAAACTCCAAATTATGGACTCTTGAAGACATAAATATATCCTTGCTTCTACAAAATCTGAGACCCACTTTTAAATAAGCGATTTTTATATCAAACAGGAATCAGACTGACAGTCTGGAGGATCGAACCATGCTTATGCTACCATGTGTTTATTTTTTAGTAAAGAAGGAAGCCAAAATTTTGACTATTTCCCTTGTTTGAAAATTTGTGCATGCATCCAAGCTACACAGGGACAGACCAATAATGAGTCAATTTTATTCTAGCCAAAGTTGTTTTATAACAAAAGAGGTGAATATATCCATCTTCAACTGCACAATTAGAGCACAACACTCTGAAACCACACTTTTCTAATGTCATCACAGAAATCAGTTCTAAGTAAACTATCTGAGGAAATCACCTACCAAAAGTATTGATGCTCAGCTGATCAATGAAATCCCATAATCGCTCTATTACATCCTGAACTCGTTTCTCACATTTTCCCTATGAAGAGAAAACATACAGCATTATCCCTAAAAAAAATTCATTCAGAAGCAATGTGGCTTTATAAAAACTAATTGACATGTAAAGGGCTTCGTTAAAAATGAAGCATTTAGGGGCCCATCTTTGACACAGAACAATGGAACAATAACTTCAGTGTAACAAGTACCCAAGAAAGCAGGATATACTGTCACTTACCCTTTCACAATTGGTCCATTTTAATAAGTAAATTTAGAATTACCAGGAGACAAAACTCAAACCAGTCTGCCAAAGATGAGGTATTCCAGTAAGGACTATACTGGTCAGACACACTGAGTGGACAGAAAAGAACACAACCAAGCTCCCTGAGAAGCCTCTTTAAACCTAGAAACCCTGTCCCATGATTTTA